TCCCTCAAAGTGGTGGCCAGTATAAAACGCACAAAGCCCAACTAAACGGGCAACTAGAAACTCAAAGAGAAAATATGTCAAACCTTAGTTTTTGCTAGCACTTCACAACCAATAAACAAACCGGCGCTGCATTGCGACAAAAAGCCCTAAACCCTAAACCTTAAACCCTAAACCTTAAGCCTCAAATCCCAAACCCTAAAGCCTAAACCTTAAAAACCCTGAACCCAAAAACCCTATAAGCCTTACACCCTAAACCCTAAACCTTGAACCCTAAACCCTAAGCCTTAAACCCTCAACCCTAAACCCTAAGCCTTAAACGCTAAACCCCAAACCGTAAACCCCAAACCAGCTGCAGCTCCTGGTCTTCAGCTTCGCCCGGCGGCCAAGGACCTCCGAGAGCCAGGCCAAAGCCGGATCGGAGCTCCGGAACTCGAACTCCTCCAAACCAGGGGCGGGGGGGTTGTATGGACTATATGTGCGTTTGAGCGCTTTGGGTTTAGGGTTTGGGGTTTGGGGTTGTAAGGTTTAGGGGTTGAGGGTGGTAGGGTCTAGGGTTGAGGGTTCTAGGGCGGTTTTAGGGTATAGAACTCCTCCCCCGCAAGGGTTGGCTCCGTAAGGACGAGATGGGCACTGTGTGGATTCAAAGGTGATCTACGGTTTTCAAGGTTGCCTTATAGGAAAACGGGTGCTTTACGGCTTTGGGGTGTAGGGTTTTAGGGTTTAGGGTTGCAGGGTCTAGGGTTTTGAACTCCTCCTGAAGGGGGATGGCATGTTGAGGTCCTCTTTTCAGGATTTAAGGGGTGTTTCGGGATTAAGACTAGGGTTATAATACGTTTAACGTTGCTTTTTGGATTTTTGTATGTGTAAGGATTTTTGTGGTGTTTCTCGTGGCTGCTTAAAGTTCTTTTGTTGCTCCTCTGAGGGCTTGGAAAGGCTTTCGGGTGTTCTTGAGGCTTTGGTTTAGGGGGAGGGCTTAGGGTTTAGAGTTTAGGGTTTAGGGTTCAGAGTTTTGGTTTAGAGCTTAGGGCTCTAGCTTGTAGGGCTTAGGGCTTCAGGGGCTCAGGCTTTTTGGGCTTTCAGAAGTTTGGTGGTCAAGCGTCTCGTCTCGCGCCATGAAACCCCTATGAGCACCCTACGAACATGCTCTGTCAAGCTCCCTCAAGAAACCCTAAACCCTGAACTCTAAACCGAAGCCTCCCTTCACAGGCGCTCCTGTGCCCCCGTATTCTCCGAGCCGTTGCCGCTCTGGACCTTGAGATCTTTCAGGCTCGGCATCCTCGGATCGTCTCTGCGTCTGAGGCTTGGGAGTTTTGGCGGTTTTGGGTTGAGGGGTTTTACGGTTTAGGGGTTTGGGTTTAGGGCTTGGGGTTTAGGGTTTAGGGTTTGGGGTTGGGAGGTTCAGGAGTCTTTGAAGGGTTTAGGCCTGCCGGCGGACTTAAGATCATCTAGGGTGTTGGGAGTTCAGGATCTAGGGTGAAAGTGGTTTGGGAGCTCAGTGGCCTAACAGAGGTTCAAGGGAGGCTTGGGCCTTTGGGGTCAAGGGTTTAGGGTTTAGGGTTTAGGGTTTAGGGTTTAGGGGTTTAGGGTTTAGGGGTTTTGGGTTTAGGGTTTAGAGTTCAGGCTCGGCCCGTCTTCACTTCGAGAGGCCTCGAAAATGTGGGGTTTTGGGTTTAGGGTTTAGGTTTTAGGGTTTAGGGTTTAGGGTTGTAAAGGGTAGTTTAAGATCTCAGGATGGTACTCATGCTCGATTGCCTTTAGATGTGCTAGTCCTCCTGGTATGACTGGTAGTATACGTACGTTCTTAGAACTTTGACATGGATTTGTAGCGTCTTATCAGCTTTCCAAAACATGAACACATATTCGTAGATAGATAGATAGATAGATAGATAGATAGATAGATAGATAGATAGATGGGTAGAGACATACATTTTACATACATACGTATATCCTCATTATGACATCCCTAAACCCTAAACCCTAAACCCTAAACCCTAAACCCTAAACCCTAAACCCTAAACCCAAAGCTCCCCAAACAAACACGCACCCAGCAGCTCTGGGAGCCCTAGGTCGGTGAAGTCGTTCTGGTGGAGCTGGATGGCCTTCGGGCTGGTAACGGTTTAGGGTTTAGGGTTTAGGGTTTAGGGGTAAGGACTTAAGGTGCGGTTTCGGGGGTTTTGGGTGGGTTTAGGGTTTAGGGGTTAGGGGGTGTAGGGCGTTTAGGGAGTTGAGGGCGTTTAGGGGGTTTGGGGGGTTTAGGGGTTTAGGGGTTTAGGGGGTTTAGGGGTTTAGTAGGGGGGATAGGGGTCAGGGGGTTTAGGGCTCAGGGCGTTTAGGTTTAGGGCTGTAAGGGCTGAGGGAGGGGCTCGATAAGGCTTAAGGGCTTTGGGTTTAGGGTTTCGGGCTAGGTTTAGGAGTGTAAGGGGCTCCACAAGGGTGAACAAGAAATCGCTGTTCTTGAGGATTCGGGCCTCGGATTTCCGGGTCTGTCGGGTTTTGAGTTTTCGGGGCTTCAAGCCTGAGGATTTGAAGTGCAAGGGGTCGCTACTTCAGGGCTGCCAGCTTTGATTTCGAGGGCTTTCTGTCAAGTCTTCGTAGGGAGTCTTTACAGGAGAGGCCCTAAGCTTTCGACGTACGGAAGAGAGGGGTCTTTTCCCACCTACTCTAGGCTTTAGGGTTTGAGGACTTTTCCGGCGTCTACTTGTCGCTTTTTGCAAACAGCCCCCGAACCCTAGACCCTTTGCCTCGAGGGTCTTTAGGGTTTAAGGGTTGAAGGGTTGAGGGTTTAGGGCTTTCTTGGCGTTGCTTCGCCTTCGCTTTTCGCGTCTAGGCTCCTTGTCTTGACTTTTCGGAGTGCGGCCTGCAGGCTCACCGAGAAGTCCGGCAGCCCGCGCAAGAAGAGCCTCGGTTGGCTCCCAGAAACCTACGAAACATCCCGAAAACCCGTTGCAAAGCCATGGAAAAGCCTGTGAGGCACCATCAAGATCCTGCAGACCCCGACGAAAAGCCTAAGAATCCGGCAACCCTATCAAAATCGAATGCCGTCTCCAAAAACACCGTTTTCAAACACAGAACAACAGCAAAAGCAAAAAAGCAACAAAAAAACTTCTGCCAAAAGAACCTTTAAAAAAGCAAAAGCCACAGAAAAAACAACAAAAGCAAACAAAAAAAAATACTTCGAACATCCCCACTCTCACGGTAGTCTGTGGGGTTGGGCACTCCAGGAAGTCGCACGGTAGTCTGTGGGGTTGGGCACTCCAGGAGGTAGTCTCAGAGGGCGAGGAGTAATAGCTGACTTTAAAATCTAACACTAAACCCTAAACCCCAAACAACCCTAAACCCTAAACCCTAAACCCTAAACCACCGAGGGTGGGGAAAAAAAACAGCGCCACTGGAAGGGCCCGAGAGGCTCCTCGATGAGACGCTGAGCCAGGCCGGAGGATCCTTGCTCTCCGAGCCTTTCGCAGACTCTGCGCTTCAAGGGGTTTCTGGCGTTTTTTTTGGGGGGTTTTGGTCGGAGTTTAAGATGTAGGATTTAAGGTTTTTTGGGGTTTGGGGGTTTTAGGGTTTAGGGGTCTGTTTAAGATTTAGGGTTTTTAGGGTTCTTTGCGCTCTTAGGGTTTAAGGGTTTAGGGGTTTAGGGTTCTTAGGGTTTTGGGGTTTTGGGGCTTATGGGGTTTAGGGTTCTTAAGTTCTGAGGGGTTTTGGGGTTTAGAGTTTAGGGTTTAGGGGATTTCGGGTTTAGGGTTGTTAGGGTTTTGGGGTTTAGGATTTAGGATTTAAGAGGGTTTAGGGGGTTTAGTGGGGGTTTGGGGTTTAGGTGGTTTAGGGGTTTAGGGTTTAAGGGTTTACTGAAATCCGGCTGCTGGGATCTTGTCATGGTAGGAATAGTAATAGCTGGGAAGAATAATTACTAGTCCATAGTCACAACTAGTACTCCCTGTAATGGAAGTGTAGCAATTAGTAGAAGCAGTCATTGTAACTGTAGGAGCAGTGCGAGTTGTAAGGGTTTCAGGGGTTTGAGAAAGAGGTTTGGGGTGTTTCTTTGGGCGGGAGTTTAGGGTTTAGTGTTTAGGGTTAAGTGGTTTGGGGTGTTGGGGTCTCTTCAACCCGGACAGTCTCTCATGGCTCCAACAAACCCCGACAAGACCCTATGGTCTCCCTTGTGGCCAACCATAAACTCCTAAACCCCCAAACCCTAAAGTTCCTAAAGCCCCAAACCCTAAAGTTCCCAAACCTCCAAACCCTAAAGTTCCCAAACCTCCAAACCCTAAAGTTCCCAAACCACGAAACCCTCAAGTTCCCAAACCCCTAAACCCTAAAGTTCCTAAAGCCTAAAACACTAAAGTTCCCAAACCCCTAAACCCTAAAGTTCCCAAACCCCTAAACCCTAAAGTTCCTAAAGCCCCAAACCCTAAAGTTCCTAAAAAGTTCCCAAACCCCTACACCCTAAAGCTCCCAAACCCCTTAAAGTTGGCCCTAAAGTTCCCAAACCCCTAAACCCTACAGTTCCTGAACCTCCAAACCCTAAACTTCCAAAGCCCCTGAACACCCAAACCCTAAAGTTCCTAAACCCCTAAAACCCTAAAGTTCTTGAACCCCAAACCCTAAAGTTCCTTAAGCCCTAAAGCCCTAAACCCCAAAGAGCGCTAGGCTCCCGGCATAGTGTAACTCTTCCCGGACCCGGTGATGCCGTAGGTGCAGATGAGCCCGCGGAAGCCCTTGAGGACGAAATCCTGAGCTTGGGAGTCTCTATAAGGATTTAGGGTTTAGGGTTTAGGGTTTAGTGTTTAGGCTTTAGGGTTTCGGGTTTAGGGTTTGGGGTTTAGGGTTTGGGGTTTAGGGTTTAGGGTTTAGGGTTTAAATTTAAAGTTTACGGTTTAGAGTTTAGGGCTTAGGGTTCTTTGCAGCTCTCTACAGTAA